CCTCCTCCTCCCCTACAAGCTGCTTGGGTGGGTCCACGCACTCTGGCAGCCTGGAATGTTCGTTCCCTTTTAGAAAATCCGAGGAGCAACCGACCGGAACGGAGGACGGCTCTAGTGGCTCGTGAACTGGCGCGCTACAAGGCGGACATCGCTGCACTCAACGAGACCCTTTTCTCCAAGCAAGGCCAACTGAAGGATGTGGGTGCCGGCTACACATTCTTCTGCAGTGGTCGCCGCAGGGCAGAGGGACGTGACGCGGGCGTTTGCTTTACCATCCGGAACGACATCGCTGGACGACTGCCCTGTCTGCCGTAGGACAGACTGATTATCCTGCGTCTGTCTCTTTGAGGATCCAACTTGGCCAACATTATCAGAGCCTACGCTCCAACAATGACCGGCTCTAACGAGGCGAAGATAAGGTTCTACGAAGACCTGCACGCACTCATGGCGACTGCTCCGAAGGCGGATAGGTTGACTGTCCTTGGTGACTCAAACGCCCCCGTCAGCACAGATCATGCTGCCTGGAGAGGAGTGCTGGGTCTCCATTGTCTCGACGGCTCCAACGAAAATGGCCTGCACCTTCTACGAACCTGCGCAGAACACCGGCTCATCCTAACCAACACCTTCTTCCGCCTTCCGAAGCGAGAGAAGGCCATCTGGATGCATCCTCGGTCGCGTCAGTGGCACCTGCTGAACTATGTTTTCGTCTGGAGGCGAGACCAGCGGGACGTGCCGATGACAAAGGTGATTCCGGGTGCTAATGGATGGACCGACCATTGCCTCGTCATCTCCAAGATGCGGATTTGACTACAGCCTCACAGGAGACCTTAGGGTTAGCGACCTCAGGTGAGCTGAATATTGCTCTGTTGTCTTTGCCTGCTCACCATCTCCAATTCAGCAATGAACGAGAATTCCAGTTGCCTCCGCCGTCACCGTCGCCGCCGCCATCAAGGAGAATGCCTCCGTTGAGAACCGATGGTGTCAACTGCGGGATACAGTCCAGTCGACGGCCCTGGCTGTCTTCGGTCGCTCACGCCGCCAAAATCAGGACTGGTTCGATGACAACGACGCCAACATCAGCAACCTGCTCGCCGAAAAGAACCGACTGCGCAAAGCCTACGTCAACTGCCCCACCGATTACAACAGAGCAGCCTTCGACCGTAGTCACCGCCTTGTGAAACAGCTGCTGCTGGAGATGAAGGACGCCTGGACGGCTCGTAAGGCCGAGGAAATCCAAGGGTACGCGGACTGCAACGAATGGAAGGATTTCTTCTCCGCGATCAAGGCTGACTACGGTCCGCAAACCAAAGCTACTACTCCTCTCCTCGGCGCTGACGGCAGTACCCTACTCACTGGAAAGACGTAAATTCCACAGCGATGGGCCGAGCACTTCAGAAGCGCCCTCGACCGTTCCTCCGCCATCTCCAACGCTGTCATCGCCCGTCTGTCTCAAGTGGAGACCAACGCTGACCTCGACCTCCCGCCCTCTCTCCCCGAAACTATTGAGGCCGTGCAACAACCCTTCAACAGGAAATCGGCCGGATCGGACACGATCCCTGCTGAGATCTACAAACACGGTGCCCCCCAACTCATGGGTAATCTAAAGGCGCTGTTCCAGGAGATGTGGTGTGAAGGACAAGTCCCGCAGCATTTCAAGGACGCCACAATCGTGCACCTCCACAAGCGGAAAGGGAACTGCTAGGACTGCGAAAACCATCGAGGCCTTTCCCTGATGAACATCGCTGGGAAGACCTTTGCTCGCATTCTTCTCAATCGCCTCAACAAACATCTGGAACAGGGTCTCCCGTCGGAAAGCCGGTACGGTTTCCGTCGTCACTTTGGGACCGCCGACATGATCTTCGCCGCCCGCCAATTTCAGGAGAAGTGTCGGGAAATGCGGATCCACCTCTACTCTACCTTCGTGGATCTGACGAAAGCCTTTGACGCGGTGAATCGCTAAGGGCTATGGACAATCTTGCAGCAATTCGGATGTCTCGAGTGATTAACTCAGATGGACCGGACGGGAATCCTCATTATCTATGCCATGCTGAGACAACTGCAACTGCGCTGGAGCAGCCACCTCGTGCGTGTGGACGATGAGCGGCTACCCAAGCGGCTCTTCAGCGAAGATGTCGCCACGGGTTCCGCCGACAAGGACGCCAAGTCCTCTGTTTCAAGGATCATCTGAAGACGTACCTAAAGCGTCTACAGATAAACGCGGCCAACTGGGAAGACGGCGCCCGAGACCGGCCGACCTGGAGGAGGACAGCGAAGACGCGCAGCGGTCTATGAAGCCAACCGCATCACCGCCGCCAAAGCAAAACGCGACGCTCGAAAACCTCAAATGCGCCCACCTCGCAACGCCAACGCTCAACCAACCCCGACTTGCCCACGCTGCCAGCGGACGCTTTGGGCACCGATCGGCCTTGTAGGACATCAGCGTACCAACTGTAGCAGCTGGACTGCACTAGTTGTTCTCTCCTCGTCCAACTCCGCCTCATCCTCCACTCCAACTAACATTGACCGCACTCCCGAACCCTCAATACCACTGTCCCTCCTCCTCCTCCTCCTCCACCACCACCACCACCTCCTCCTCCTCCTCCTCCTCCTTCCCCTCTTCCACTATTGCCTCAACATCCACTACAGCGTTTCCTAACCCTGCCATCGCTGTACACAATAATGAAACACGGACAAACACCAACCTCCCCACCGTCAAGGTCAGCGATTTGGACTCTGTCCATACCTGCCCTCATTGCGATTGCACCTTCACCTCACAAATCGGCCTGGCCGGTCACTTGCGAATCCATTGCACAGAGACTGGCGAACCAGTGCCTGGATCACCAACATACACTCGCCGCAACTGCCCTCACTGCACCCGCACATTCACTCATTGCATGGACATATCAGGACATGCGTGCATTCACGAAAACCTACGGTGGACAACCACCGACTACACCACATCATCAAATAATCCTTCACCAACGCCCGAATCTGAGACTATCAAGGTGCGTCAAGCACCGTGGCTTGGAAGACTGCTGACTGACGCCCCAACTTAGTCCGCGCAGCCTGCCCAGTTCTGTGTGCGTCTGTTTGGAGAGGCGAACTGGTGGGCTAAGAGTCAGGCCAAAATGCCCCCGTCTTAATGTGACCTACGCACCCACACGCATATGAGATGTATGCCGTTCAGTCTCCGTTGTGCGAAATCCTGGTGCTTGTGTTTGGGGGACCAGGTCGCGCATGTGGCACGCGCAGACACGATCACTATATATGTCAGCTACCACGTCCATTCCCCGAACTTGTCAACTGACCGGCTCAGAGAGTGGCTGGGGCCTGTGAATGGAAAGGGAGAGTGAAGTCAATGACTCAGCGCACCCTCTTCACTATAAACAATGTGACGCGCTTGAAGCTATTACGGTGCGCTAAAAGCCGTGGCTTGGAAGGTTGCCAACTGACGACATGACTTGGACCTCGCAATCGACCCAACGTTGTGTGTTTGTGTGGAGCGGCCGAGTGCTGGTCTAAGAAGTAGGCTGCAATGGCTCCTTCTTAATGTGGCTTTTATGGCACTCCCACTTCGAACCGGGTGTGGCGGCCGTGGCCGCGTTAACCACTTGCACCCTCTCCCACCTCCGGTCTTCATGACTATGTCTTGACACCGGGTCCGGGTGGGGGGCGGATTAGAGAGTGCGGTAAATGCCGCGCAAGTCTTAATTCACTATAATCTAATTTACGCGCTAGTCACCCTGCCTGCTTCACCTCGCTGTGAAGCACACGCCGGACACCGTCGGCAACGACGTTCGTATTGTCATTTCCCAGAGTGCAAAAGTTAAGTGAAAACGGACGCTATATTTATCGTAGGCTTACCGTACGCTGACATATGCGATAGTGTGTTTGCATAGAATTAAATCCGGACTACCCCTAATTGTGACCGATGTTCTGCCCTGATATTTTGTTTTCCCATAGCTTTTTACAGTCTTCGAGCGTTCGCAGTGTCTGGCTCTTAGATTTTAGTGTACTGCACGGATCTGTTGACATTATTTCGGTCGTTACTTTGCTTCTCCCGTTGCCCTCGTTCTATAACCCCTCCTCAAACAGGGAAATCCCTAGCACTATTTACGAGCAAAAATGCGGCCATAGTACACGTTCTGAATCGGAATTTGTCTTATTCTGCCTCAACACACGGAAAACCCTGGAAGACCTGTTGAGGCTCTGAAGTCCCCGCATTTGCGCGATGCAGCATCAGACACTTGGAAAAACGTGTTTGTTGCCTTTAGCCAGTATTCGTGTTGAGAACATTTTGAGACGAATTTCGGTACGAAGCGCTCGTTAAGGCTTAATCTGCGAATGTATAGCTGCAGTCGTCAGCTGCGGCCGATAGTATTCAAATCAAACATACACGTACACAGAGTTACCTGGTCCGACAAGTCGAGTTCAAATGACTTAAATCAAACGTCTAGGAGAATTCACGATGGAATTACAAATTGGAAATAGAATACTGAACCACTTTTGCATTTCTTTGAAGTTACTACTAGGCTACGTGCACTGGAGTTTGTTTAACTAGGCTACTTGTTTCTTCTTGTTCTGTCTCATTTTCACTTAGCGTCTGGAGAAACTGCAACCGGGCCCCCCACGAACGTCAATCTCGTCTCGTCCGAGGGCCAGGCTTCAATCAGCTCTCGGCTAGTCTCGTTCCCGGTGCGAGGGATGAACTTGGTGGCTGCAAAGTTAAACTCGTGATCTGTTTCGAAGATATGGCCATCCATTTGGGATAGGCCCAAGCCTAACCTGTCATTGTACTTACACAAATCAGACTAAACGCATGCTCGGACCACATACCCACGAACACGAGCTGGTTGTGCGACAGGGTGAAAAATTATCAAAAGTGGTTGCGTATATCTTGGAAACAGGTCACGAGTCCAACTTCGCAGACACATAGGCGAACACCCGTGCCTGAAACAAGACTAGCCGAGAACTCTGAAGTTCGGGCCTCAGATGAGAAATTAATCAATCGATAGATGTATTGTTCGGGTGCCTCCATACGGAGCCTCCAGACCTGCGTCACCGAAACTTTATTGGCTAACCCTCCCCTGTAACTACCTGCTCTGTTGCTGCTTTTACCGCTGACAACAGAGTTCTGCACGAGTTTAAAAACAGACAAATAAACAAATTTTGCCGGTGCCCGACCAGTCGTCTCCCTTATTCACACAGGGGATTATCGGGGGAACCCATTCGGCTAGACGACGACTTTTGCTTGGAGTTGAAAATCTTGGTAACGATAGGGTGTAAGACACCCAAGTAGATCGCAACTCCAGAAATCTATATATATATCTATCTATATATATAAAAATGGAAGGGTTTTTTTTCTGTGTTATATCTAATCTCCGAAAGTACTGCACCGATTGCGCTGAAATTTGGACACAACCCGACCCGCGCATAGGGCCGGGTTTTTGGCTGGTCAGTTGTGTAATTATGCGCATGGTATGCCTGTGATGGGCAAAAAACCGGATATTTTCCGCCATAACAACGCCACCAGCTGCGGCCACTTGACCTACATCCGCTTGCGCCCACACGTGCGCCTAGACTGTGGCCACTTGACCGACATTCGCTCAAACGCACGTGCTCCGCCCGACAGCCGCGCTCACCCCACCACCCACCCTGCAGGCACTTGAGCAGGCCCTCCACCCCACCCCTGGGCCGATGCAGTATGGGCCGCCTGAGCAAACCAACCCTGGGGCAAAAAAACACGCAACACTTGGACGCCACTTAAAATTGTCCCACAGTCGACGTAATAGTGCCGTCACCGCTGCCTTGGGATTTTCGGGGGGTGAGGAGTGGATGCAGTTAACACCAGCGCCTGCCTGTCCCCCCGCACAACCCACATAAGGGGCCTTTCACCCAGTGTCAGCTCAGTATTGTGCAGTTCGGCTTGCGGATGCCCGGTTGCAGTCACGGCTGCCGCGTTCTGCAGCTTCAGGTCTGCTTCGTTCACAACATCATGACCACAGCCAGTTGGGAGTGGCCAAATGGCGCCAGCGAGGAACAGCAGACCAGCGTCCAACACGACTTCGTGCTCAGCATTCACGCAGCCTGATGCTGTTGTAAACGACGGCACGACAACAACCGTTGGAAGAGTAACGATTTGCATTAAGTTGTGCCGAAGAATATGATACATGGACCTTGGATGCACTGAATCCCAATTCTCCAACCCCCCCCCCCCTCCCCCGGCATGATAGACGGAAGTTCCTTATACCGAAAATGATCAGCGGAAGACGTCGGCAAATTGGCAACCGTACGAATGCGAATCGGTGACATAGAAGTCGGTAACCGCTGGGTTGTTTCGTATTCGCCTTTGCTTTTAAAAGCAAACGCAGCTCACATAAACGTGGAACACTGCAATTTTGGGAAATGAATTAGGTACATTTGTAAGTACGTGAATAAAGGCAGCGACATGGCCGTTTTCGGCCTGCAACACAAAAGTAGATAAAGGGATGCGGACATACAACACAATGAAAGCGCACAGTATTGGGCTGGGAGATGCGTCAACGGCAAGAAATCCACGTGGAGAATTCTTCTATTCCCCATCCATGAGCGAAGTCCAGGTGTTGTTCGCTTGCAGTACAGTTAGAGAATGGGCAGTGCGTTTACTTTACCGATACAAACGCGCAACAGGTTGCCTTAGGTCCACTGGCAACAACACTAACTGCGTTCTGCACGTTAAGCCAAAGTGACGCGTTTGCGAAAACACTGCCGCATTCGAAAGTGCCTACGTATTACACAGGGAATGTGCGTAGAAAATCATCCAAACGACGCAAAGGAGGAGAGCGAGTGGACGGACACCCCGGCATACTCAGATAAACTGCGATAGGCAGACTGCATACCGTGCATCCCAATCTTACTTCGCATGGTGTTGATGAATGTGCCACGTCCAACGTCTTTCCAGCAATTGAAGTCTGTCAACGGCGCTACGCATGCCACTTTCAGCAGTGCGTGTCAGGCTCTTCAGTTACTGGAAAACGATCAACAGTAGGACGTATTAATGACGCCTGCAACATGTCCCATCCACATCAAATTCATGTATTGTTTGCAGTCATATTCATCGCATTCTCTCCAAATCTCCAGCAGATTTACCGGAGGATCAGAATTTGCACATGGCTGAAGATACCTTCCGTCAACTACGCAAGGAAAATTCAAATGTGGCTTGCACAGCAGGAATCTACAGCGAGGCGTTAATATTGATTGAGGATATGTACGCAGAAATTGCGAACAAAGTTCTTAATCAACTGGGAATCTCACCGCAAAACCAATCTGCTGCTGCTGCTTCGTTTGATGTGGATTGGCGCCATGAGCAAAATGAAACACGGTTTAACTTCTGCCATGCTTGCAATCAAACATTCACAAGCTAAGACTGGAGCAGAATGACATTTACGATCAAATACTGCGGAATGTCAGTAACGGGGTTGGACGAATCTCCTTCCTAGATGCGCCGGGAGGGACTGGCAAGACGGTCCTACTATGACCGATTCTGACGGCATTTCGATCCAACAAATGACATAGCCCTAGCACTTCCATCCCCGGAATTGCTGCAACTCTGCTACCTGGCAGAAAACCCGTTCATCCAGCTTCGAAATTGCCCTTGAAAGCGCAAATCATTAAAGC